CCAGGAGATACTTTACACAGTTGTGTATCTTTGTTGAAGTTATCTGATTATTTCATCTCAGTTTTTCATCAGTAAAATAAGAATAATAATAGTAATCATAATACCCGCATAGTAGGGTAAAGATTAAGTGAGACACTACATGAAAACCATTTGAAAGTGTCTCTACGTTTAGGACACTCACTGGGACATAACAAGCACTCAACATATATTAAACACTCACCTTACTAGAGGAAACAGTATTTTATGGAATGTGCCTGGAAAGAGCTTAAGCTTTTTTAATGCTTTTATTGAGATACATTTCCTACCATGTACAACTTGGTGGTTTCTAACATAGTCATAGGGTTGTGTAGTCAGTCATCCCACATTTTGATCACCTTAAGAAACCCTGTACACTCTAGCTATTATCCCCCAAACCTCCTTCATCTCCAATTTTAAGCAAGCATAATCAACACTCTGTCTCTCTATGTTGGCTTATTCTGAACATCAGTCATAAAAAATAGCCTCAAAATGCATAAAGAAAATTAAGTTTTTGTGCCAATATAAGATTTGCCTTAATGATCTTAAAAATGTGAACCTTAATGGATTTCTTAGAATTCTTACATTAGAACTTATAATGCTCTCCTTTCCACATACACCTGATAATGTGATGATCAGGTCCTTAGCTTCCTTAAAGTCAAGATTATTTCTCTGTGCACGCACAATAAAGAGAAAAGTCAAAGTTTCCTTCCTATGAAAAATGTTTAAGAAGCCCAGTGACTAAGATCAACTGCAAAAATAGGTTTTATAAATGGTTTATGGGAAAACTCATAAAATAATAAAATCAGTTCAAATGTGACTTTTGTATTATGCCTATCCTAAATTGATGTACAAGGACAATTCACTCTAAGTAATTTTCCTGGCTAAAATAACAAATCACCATTTTCCCTAGATAAAACACCCTATACAATGATAACCTTGATCAGTGATATTTCATGAAGTTTTCAAATAAGTAATATTACCTACTGTGTATAGAATTGAAAATCTGGAGACAATGTTCTAACTCTTCTTAAGACAATTTGTTTGTATCTAGCACCTCTCAAATTCAAAGGCAGAATCATGAACCCCACTCACTGTGATTTCAAATGATATTTAAATAATATCTATATTTGAATGATATTTAGGGAACAGGGTCCTCTGCAACTATTTATTTCTTTAGATATTTTCTTTTGTGTCTTTTTTTTTTTTTTATAGAGGCATGTTTTATTTATTTGTTTGTTTGTTTGTTTCTTTGTTTATACATGCACTGGGTACAGTCAGAAGCGCAGGCGGGTGAGAGAATACACCAGAGCCAGAGCGGGGAGCAGAGCAGGCAGAAGTACACTGCTGAGGGGAGCAGCGGGCGGCAGGAGAGGTCTGCGCGCCATGTGGGACCCTCCTCCGGTGGCCGGGGAGCAGCTGGGGATCGAACCGGCGCCGTAGAGGTCGCCGGCAGCTTTGCAACCCAGCGCTCAACCGCTGCGCCACCGGGGAGGCCCTCTTTAGATATTTTCTAACCTGATAATGAAAAACTAAATATAGCATATAAAAGTGACCAGTAAAATATCCTAAATACTGGGGAAAAGAAGAGCACCTTAGGGAACAGAAATCACTTAGTATCAATGTGACATAATTTTCTATCGCTTTATAGATTTCTACAGTTAATTTATACGGGAAGTTTCCAGTCTATTAGACATGCTGCCTTTTTCAACAATTATCTGTCTTTCTCCCCAAATTCCAACAAAATCCCCACTAAAATCATGGCTTTCCACTTATGGAACAGCAGCCATAACTTCTGTGATAACTAGAGCGTCGTGTTGGCCAAAACCTTATACAATTTTTCTTTAATATAAAGTACATATTGTATGTTTTGAAGAAAAAAAGGAGAGTCTTTTTGTTTTACTTATCTTTATTTATTACAGGTTATTTTGTCTATAAAATTGTGAGATTAAGGCATTACACAGAATTTGTTCAACTACTATAATAAATAGGTACTTGATATTTCACCAATTACTTAGATTTGGTCTTTATGCTATATTTGTATGTGCAGATATATGTATATATATATGAATCATTAGCCATTTGTATGTCAAATATCAAATTACCACAGCCATTGTTTATCTAATAAAATTGGACATTAAGTATTTAAAAAGCAATTGTGATTTAATTAAAGTTTTGCTGTTTATTTATGCATCATAGAATTACCATGATTATGAAAGCATTGTGATTGAAAGAATGATACATTCATTTTGAATCAATATATTTCTTTATAATTATAAAGTAGCCTATCTATTTGATCATGAATATAAATGTGGCAATAATCTCTGTGGTTAACCAGATATTTATGCTTTCTCTAAAACTAAAATTCTATTTCAATAGCAACTTGTGTTTAACTGCCTAAACAAATAAGATGTGGTTAATTCTTGCTACAACTATAATTCCTAGTTAAATAAAGTAAAAATATTTCCTATCTTAGCCATCTATAAGTAGATATTTATTAATGACAATAATATGATATACATAAATAAATATTTACTAATACCCAATTTTACCAATTAACAATCAAGAAGGATAAGTGCTGGTCTCAAATTGCTGTTGTGAATGATAGGAAATCCTGGTTTTACTTTTTTGATGAATACCAAAAAAATTTTAACATAGAATTGTGGTGAGTGTTTTAACTAAAATGTCAATATAAATTGCAAGTAAACTGCCAATATTCAGTTTCAAGGGGTTGTTACAATCAGTTCGGATACCTATTTTCATGCATCTATGTTTATAACAGGATTTCATATAATCAGCATTATTAACATTTTGGGCAAGGTAATTATTTGTTGTAATGAACTGTTGTGTGAATTGTATTATGTTTATCAGCAAATCTGGCCATTGCCCACTAAATGTGCTAGTATGACTTCCAATTGTTCCACTTTCCCACAACCTCACAATTTTTACTAGTGAAGGCTTTTTAATTTCAGCCCTTCTGTTAATGTGTATTAGCATAGAATTTCCCTGATCATTTTTTCCTCTTAGCTATAAGTTTTCCATTTAATTAGTGTCAATATTACATATTTTTCAATCTTCCCATGTGCTTATATTTTAAGTGTAACTATGGAATTAACATAAAGTACGTTGTTGAACTGGATTTGTACTTTTTTAAATTATGCTATGACAATCTCTATTTTTAATTTTTAAATTTCATCCAGTTACATTATTTTATTGACATATTTGGAATCCTTTATGCCCTCTTAATTCTGAAGTTACAGAGACTGAGTAGTCTGATTCAATGTTTGCAATAATTCCTGTTGCGTGGTGTGTGAGGGTTTGGGGGGGAGTGGGTGGGTGTGTGAGGAGTGTGCATGTGCTGGGCTTTATTTAAATGGAAGCAAAGAAAATGTACTCCTGCATTGTTGTGATAAAGAATATGCAAAATAATATTTATCATATTAACCATCTCCTATTATTTTTCATGAAAAGTTTTGCAGTTTATCATATTTAAACATTTATGATTTTTTTCACACACTGATATTTTCTATTAATTCACTCATTCTATATACATTTGTCTTTGAATATTTTCTTCTAAAAAGTTAGTAAATTACATAATTTGCAGTTATTGAAATTGTTGATATTGTTGTACTCATTTCATATTTCTGTTTTTCATATTTTCATTGCTTCTTCTTTTCTCCTTTCTACCATTTTTCATTGATATTATTTTTATTGTATCTCTGTATCGTCCTAATAGTTTTATGCTACAAATGTGGTCACTCTACTTTCTCCCAAACTA